CCCCACTGGGGCCTTCGGTGGAGCTCGCTATGGGGAGCCGAAACGCTGTGCTCGGGGTGGCGGACGCATGCGGGCACCCCCACTGGGGCCTTCGGTGGAGCTTCCTATGGGGCCACGAAACGCTGTGCTGGGTGTGGCGGACGCATGCGGGCACCCCCACTGGGGCTTTCGGTGGAGCTCCCTATGGGCCACGAAGCGCTCTGTGCTGGGTGTGGCGGACGCAATGCGGGCACCCCCACCTGGGCGGGGCCTAGGGTGGAGCTCCCTATGGGACCACGGAACGCTGTGCTGAGTGTGCTGAGTGTGGCGGACGCATGCGGGCACCCCCACTGGGGCCCTCGGTGGAGCTCCCTATGGGCCACGAAGCGCTGTGCTGGGTGCGGCGGACGCATGCGGGCACACCCACTGGGGCCTTCGGTGGAGCTCCCCATGGGGCCACGAAACGCTGTGCTGGGTGTGAGGCGGGACGCATGCGGGCACCCCATTGGGGCCTTCGGTGTAGCTCCCCATGGGCCACGAAGCGCCGTGCTGGGTGTGGCGGACGCATGCGGGCACCACCACCGGGGCCTTCGGTGGAGCTCCCTATGGGGCCACGAAGCGCTGTGCTGGGTGTGGCGGACGCATGCGGGCACCCCTGCTGGGGCCTTCGGTGGAGCTCCCTATGGGGCCACGAAGCGCTGTGCTGGGTGTGGCGGACGCATGCGGGCACCCCCACAGGGGCCTTCGGTGGAGCTTCCTATGGGGCCACGAAACGCTGTGCTGGGTGTGGCGGACGCATGCGGGCACCCCCACTGGGGCCTTCGGTGGAGCTCCCTATGGGGCCACGAAACGCTTGTGCTGGGTGTGGCGGACGCATGCGGGCACCCCTGCTGGGGCCTTCGGTGGAGCTCGCTATGGGGCCACGAAACGCTGTGCTGAGTATGGCGGACGCATGCGCCCCCCCCCACCCCCACTGGGGCCTTCGGTGGAGCCCCGTATGGGGCCACGAAACGCTGTGCTGGGTGTGGCGGACGCATGCGGGCACCCCCACTGGGGCCTTCGGTGGAGCTTCCTATGGGGCCACGAAACGCTGTGCTGGGTGTGGCGGGCGCATGCGGGCACCCCCACTGGAGACGTCGCTTGAGCTCCCTATTGGGCCACGAAGCGTGTGAGGGGTGTAGCGAAAGGGGTGATGATGACGATCATGACGGTGATGGCGATGATGATGATGATGATGATGATGATGATGATGATGATGATGATGATGATGATGATGATGATGATGATGGTGGTGGTGATGATGATGATGAGGATGGTGACGATGACGTCGATGGTGATGATGATGATGATGATGATGATGGTGGTGGTGATGATGATGATGATGATGATGATGATGATGATGATGATGATGATGATGATGATGATGATGATGATGATGATGATGATGATGATGGTGGTGATGATGATGATGATGATGATGATGATGATGATGATGATGATGATGATGATGATGATGATGATGATGATGGGGAGGAGGGAGGAGGAGGAGGAGGAGTGAACGCGGGGCGCTGTCTCTTCAAAACGAGGACCCAACACCACAGGAGGGTTGGGAAAAAGCACTGCGCGGAGTGGGAGCGGGCGACTCTCAGGCCCTCTCTTCGGGGAGAGCGAGGGGACCAGTGCTCATGTGGAGTACAGGGAGGCTGGTAACACAAAAGGCTGGAATCATAACCGACAAAGAGGTTAGACTAGGTAAAATGGCATCGGCCTGCGCCCGCGCGAAATAAAAACAGAAGCGGGCCGAAGCCCCGAAGAAAATAAAACAGCGCGCCCGCCATGCTCTTGCAAGGCCCCGAGCCGGCCCGAACCCAACGCCGCGCCGACGGAGGTGGCAAGCAGCCCCCAATCGAGCCCAGACAAAAAAACAAAAAAAAGGCCCGCAGCGAATAAACAAAAAGCGTTGGCGGTGGCCTGGGGAGGGCGGGGGCGAGCCAAACAACTGGAATCAATGGATTGGCCACCCAAAGCCGCAAATGACAAACACAAAAGCAGGCCCGCAGAGGTGAGGTCTCTGCTACATCGATCATTTGTCCCAACCATCCTGTGGTGTTGGGTCCTCGCTTTGAAGAGACAGCGCCCCGCGTCTCCTCTCCTCTCCTCTCCTCTCCTCTCCTCTCCTCTCCTGTCCTCCTCCTCCTCCTCCGCCTCATCCTCCTCCTCCTCCTCCTCCTCCTCCTCCTCCTCCTCCTCCTCATACTCCCTCACATCATCATCGTCGTGATCATCACCGCCAGCATCATCGTCGTCATCGTCATCGTCATCGTCATCGTCATCAGTATCAGTATCCTTATCAGTACCATCATCATCATCATCATCATCATCATCATCATCATCATCATCATCATCATCATCATCATCGGCATCATCGTCGTCGTCGTCGTCATCATCATCATCATCATCAGCATCATCATCATGACCATGATGATCACGAACATCATCATCATCATCATCATCATCATCATCATCATCATCATCATCATCGTCGTCCTCATCATCATCGTCATCGTCATCGTCGCCACACCCCTCACACGCTTCGTGGCCTAATAGGGGGCTCCACCTAAGGTCCCAGTGGCGCCGCCCGCATGGCGGCGCCGACCCATTTTGGCATATCCCTCACACGCTTCGTGGCCCACTAGGGAGCGCCACCTAAGGTCCCAGTGGCGCCGCCCGTATGGCGCCGCCGCCCCATTTTCGCACACCCCTCAGACGTTTCGTGGTCCCATAAGGAGCTCCACCTAAGGTCCCAGTGGCGCCACATCTCTCACACGCTTCGTGGCCCCATAGAGAGTTCCACCTAAGGTCCCAGTGGCGGCGCCCGCATGGCGGCGCCGCCCCATTTTCGCACACTCCTCACACGTTTCGTGGCCCCATAGGGAGCTCCACCTAAAGGCCACAGTGGCGCAGTTCGCATGTGTGCGTCACCCCCGTTTCGGCACACCCCTCACGCGTTTCGTGGCCCGATAGGGAGCTCCACCTACGGCCCCCGTGGCGCAGTTCGCATGCGGTTCCCCCCCCCTTTTCGGCACGCCCCTCGCGCGTTTCGTGACCCGACAGGGAGCTCTACCACCGAAGGCGCCAGTGGCAGTGCTCAGACTTGGGTGTCATCCCCCGTTTCGGCACACCCCTCACGCGTTTTGTGGCCCCATAAGGGGGTTCCACCTAAGGCCCAGTGGCAGTGCTCACATGTAGGCGTCACCCCTTTTTTGGCCCATCCCTCACACGTTACGTGGCCCCATAGGGAGCTCCACCGAAGACGGTTCTCACAACTGCGCTACTCACGACTGCATCTGGTTGGGTCATTCGCCAAGATAATTTCCGACGAGGTCCTCGTCTGGACATGTCCGACAAATCTCGGGTTGCACCACGTGGAGGCTTGGGTGTCGCATAGGAGGTGGAGGGGGGGGGGGGTGGTGGCGAAGGGAGAGGCGGGAAGGGCGTGGGAGAGAGAGGCGAGCGGGAGGGGGATACCCACGGCCTGGCGTGCCCCTGCATGCGGACGCGGGGCGCCCGCGTGCACAGTCCCAACGAGTCACGCGGCGCCCTCGAGGCGTGCCCGAGAAAGGGCGGCCGACCATGATCCGGCCCGACCGCGGCTGTAGCTTCCAGAGCGCGATGGCCCACGCCCCTCTCGCACGCAGCACGCGCACGTCGGATGCACCACCCAAGCAGCTCCTCCTCTCCCCCCTGTCTCCTCCTCCTCCTCCTCCTCCTCCTCCTCCTCCTCCTCCTCTCCCTTCCTCCTCTCACCCGTTCCTCATCCTCCACCTCTTCTCCTCGTTCTCCGCCTCTTCCTCCTCAACCTCCTCCTCCTCCTCCGTCTATCCACCTCCAAGCCTCCTCCTCCTCCTCCTCCTCCTCCTCCTCCTCCTCCTCCTCGTGATCATCATCATCATCATCATCATCATCATCATCATCATCACCACCATCACCATCACCATCACCATCATTATCATCATCATCAAAGGACATCATCATCATGATCATGATCATAATCATGAATCATCATCAGCATCACCACCACCACCACTTCCACCTCTTCCACCACTTCCACCACCACCATCACCATCACCATCACCATCATCAAACATCATCATCAATTATCATCATCATCAGCATCCCATCTCACCATCATCATCATCATCACCATCACCATCACCATCATCATCACCGTCATCCATCATCATCAACCATCACCATCAACAACCATCACCATCATCATCATCATCACAGCATCACCTCATCGCCATCATCATCATCACCATCACCATCATCATCATCATCATCATCATCATCATCATCGTCATCGTCATCGTCATCGTCATCGTCATCATCATCATCAGCAGCAGCAGCAGCACCATCATCAGCAGCACCATCAACATCATCACCATCATCATCAGCATCAGCATCATCATCATGATAAGCAGCAGCATCAGCAGCAGCATCAGCATTTGCATCATCAGCATCATCATCAACAACATCAGCATCATCATCGTCATCACCATCAGCAGCAGCTGCATCAGTATCATCAGTATCCTCAGTATCAGCACCATCATCATCAGCAGCAGCATCAGCATCATCAGCATCAGCATCATCATCACCAGCAGCAGCATCGGCATCATAATCACAGCCATCAGCATCACCACCATCACCATCATCATCATCATCGTCATCATCATCATTATCATCATCATCACTATCATCCTCCTCCTCCTCCTCCTCCTCATCCTCATCTTCATCCTCATCCTCATCATCATCATCATCATCATCATCATCGTCATCATCATTATCATCATTATCATCATCATTCCCATTCACCTCCTCTCTCCGTCTTACTCCTCCTCTCCTCTCATCTCTGCCCCCTCGGCCTCCTCATCCCTCTCTTCCTCCTCTCCTCCTTCTCCTCCCCGTGCTCGTCCTCCTCCAACTCCTCTCACCAGCTCCGACAACGCTGGCCAGCCCACCGTAGAACTTGTTGGCACAGTCGCCGACATCCTCGTCGTTCGGCACGTTGCAGTAGAGGTGGTCGTTCCACTGGGCGAACCAGTTGTGGGAAAACACGAAGTGGAGCATGGCCTGCGCCGCGAGCCCGAGCACGCAGAACGCCCGCGCCCGACGGCTGCAGTGCAGCTAGATGGTGGGACGATGGACAGCACATAGAAAAACATCGCAGGCTGAAAGGATAATAGCGGATCAAAGCTGGACGTCCCCCCCAAAAGGGCGAGGGGGGAAAAAGCAGCAGAAGGGGGAGGGAGAGAGACCGGGAGGCAAGAGGCACCAAGTGAGAGGGGGCGAGCCGGGCGAGGAGGAGGAAGAGGAAAGGGGGAGCAGGGGAGAGGACGAGGAATATGGAAGATCATGAAAGCGCGAAGAGGGACGACGGAGAGGGGACGGAGGGGTGAGGGATGGGGGCAGAGGGAGGGATACACAGGGCAGTGGAGAGGTGAGAGGATAGAGAGGGGAGGGAGGAGGAAGGAAGGTATGGGAGGAAAGAGAGAGAGAGAGAGGAGAGATGAGGAAGCTGGAACGCGGACAAACCATGGACTCAAAAAGGAGCACAAGAAACGATAGGGGAGGACGAGGAGGAGAAGTAGGAGGAAGAGGAGGAGGAGGAGGAGAAAGCGCTGAAAGAGCAGAAACAGGGGGAGGAGTAGGAACCGAACGACGAGGAAAGAGGAGATGGAGGGGACATCGGAGGGAAAAACAATGCTGCTGCTGCTGCTGAGGAAGAGGAGGAGGAGGAGGAGGTGAAGGAGGAGGAGGAGGACGACGACGACGAACAGGATCAGCAGCGGGAGACGTGAGGGATGAGGGCAGAGGGAGGGGAAGAGAGGGCAGTGAAAAGGTGGGAGGCGAGAGAGTGAGAGAGAGGGGAGTGGTGGGGAGGGAGGAAGGTAGGGAAGGAGAGAGAAAGGAGGAGGGAGGAAGAAGAAGCTAGAACACGGACATTGACCTCAGCAAAAAAAAAAAAAAGCATGGCCGCAACAAAGAGCACAGAAAACGGAGGGAGGAAGAGGAGGAGAACTGGCTGAAAGAGCAGAACGAGGAGAGCTCCCCTCCCTATGGGGCCACGAAGCGTTCTACGAGGTGGGAAAAACGCAGGGAGGAAAAGCTGTGCTTGGTGGTGGTTGACGCAGCCACGAAACGCTGTACTGGGTCGGTGAAACGCAGGGGGGAAGGAGCAGGGGGAGGAGGGAGAAGGGGGAGGAGGAACGCGGGGACCGTCTCTTCAAAGCGAGGATCCAAAACCACAGGATGGTCGGGAAAAATACTTAACCCTAAAAACCCGAAGCCTTAATAACCAAACTCCAAAAAAACATAAACCCTCAAAGCCCCAAGCCCTGAACACCCCAAACCTTAAAAACCCTGAGCCTTAAACACTCAGAGTCCTAAACCCTAAAAACCAAACAAACCCTGCAAACCCTAAAAACCTTAAGCCTGACAAGCCATCAACAAAAACTAAACCCTAAACCTAAAAACCCTAAACCCTTGAAACCCTAACCTCGACAATCCTAAACCCTAAAGCTAAGAAAGCTACAGAGGAAGAAGAGGAGGTGCGAACTGGAATTGGAGCAGGATCCAGGGCAGGGCAGGGGGGGGAAGGGGGACAGGGGAACAGGACAGGGGACGGGGTGGAAACCCAGCACAAGAGCAATTGCTCGCACACGCGTGCGACCTCCTCGTACCCTGTGCGGGACTCCATTCCGTCCGCGTACAGGCTGAAGGCCTGCTGCACATTGCACAGGAGGACGAGGAAGAGGAGGAGGAGGAGGAGGAGGAGGAGGAGGAGGAGGAGGAGGAGGAGGAGGAGAGAGGAAAGAAAGCGGAGGGAAAGGGCGAGGACGCCGAGGAGAGAAGGGCAAGGATGATGAGGACGAGGAACAAATAAGGGAGGTGGAGAAAGAAAGAGAGGGGAGAATAATGGGAATCTGACCATGGTCATGGTAAAAACAATGAGGGTGAGGAAAGAAAGGGCGAGGAAAAGAGAACGGATGACCAATATCTGCGATCTCCTCCGATCACCTGGGCGACTCCAACATAAGACCCATGGGGGGCCAGCCGGAAGGAAAGCATTCCCAACGCGCCGAGGAACCCAGGGGATCCGGTTTCCGCGACAGGGAGATATCCTCGGCGAGAGGTCCAAGCACGGAGTTGACACCTGCCTAAAATTCCAGAAGGGGGGTGAACTCTCAGCCGCCAGGGTGCTGGCGCGCGGGGTTCCCCCCCAGGCGCAAGCAGGGGAGGAAAGGCGCGAGAGCCCGGATTGTCCATGCAGCGCAGCATCTATTCAATAGTAGTTGTGCTAGTGACTTGTACCAGTATTACTTGCACGCTACTTCGTGTCCTATTTCCGAAGGTGACATTGTACACTGTCTCCATATTCCTGAATCGCGATTCTACTCTGCTTCCGTACTCCCAAGTCGCGATCCTGTAGTGCTTCCTTATGCCTGAGTCACGAGTTTGTACTGTTTCCTAAAATGCCTCTATCGCAATTCTATAAGACGAGCTGTACTGCAGGACCAGTTGCACTGTAGGAGCAGCTGCGAGCTAGCACATGATGTAGACCAGCGCGTTCCACTACTCGCAAAGTACCTACTCGCAAATGGCCTGGATCCGCCATTGGAGATTTGCGATACATTACATCGAGGCAGACATGTGTTTTTCGGACGCTTGCGAGTAGGCACTTTGCGAGTAGTGGAACGCGATCGGTGATGATGGTACCAATTATACTCAAGTACTAGGTGTACTCTAGCCAGAGGGGTTCAGGGGTTCCAGTGGCAATACGCGCGCGGAAGAAGGAACAAAATCAATGCGCCGCTAAGTGACTCGGGTTTGACTGGTCGCCGCGAAGGTGGACCCCCGCGGAAGGAAGAGAGTAAATCCGGCCGGGGGGGGTGGGGGGTTCAAGCATGAGTCGCTGGGGCGATATTGCGACTGAGACTACGGAGAAAGAGGAGGGGGAGAGGGGGGATGAGGAGGAAGAGGTTTGCGGACCAGCCCTACTCACCGCTGAGTGAAAGGGGGGGATCAAAACTCAAGATCTCCTGAAATTGTGAAACAAACTTACAAGCAGTGTGTTTACGTGGGGAACTTTTTTGTGGCGTCCTTCGAGACATACTCCTTCTGCAGCGGCCTTGTGCAAGAAGGGATTCCTTCTGCGGCCGCCTTACAGAAGGACTCCTTTTGAGGAGATGGAGAAGGCCGAGGCGATCCGAACCCCGTAGAGACTCTTCAGGAGTGAGGACTGAA